TTTTCACGTAAAAGTAAAAAAAAATGTATTTTTTTCAATTTTTCATCATTTTTTTAAAAATTTTTTTAAATTAAAATACATGAGATGATATAAATAATGGTATGTAAAGAAAGCCCCTTTTGTCCTTAAAAAAACAATATATAATTTGTATGAGAACAGTAAATGAGAGAGCAGAAAATTACAGCCAAACACAAACATCACAAAAGTTTAAAAATATGCCTGGTCGCAAATGTACAACATCGCAAAAACAGTCCAGTCCTTAAGGGGTTAAAGGAGAAATGATTTTAATAATCTGTTTACATGTCCTGTATATTTAAGAAATATGTTTTTGTGAAGTTTAACAAATAAAATGAAACGTAGATTGCCATTCTGAGCGACTTCATTCTAGATCCCTGTGAATCATCTTTATTAATGTTGCTATTTTATGCCATTGAACATAGTGAGGGAAAGGAATCAAAGTTAAACAATGTTTCTATTCTCCTCTAAACACTGCTTGCCTGTGGTTACTCAGTGTTATAACTACTAATCCTTCACATAGTGCCTGCCAACCAGCTATAACTGCAACTGGCAGAAGAACAGTGCCTATAGCAGAGGGGTGCACTGGTATTTCACTAGTCGTACATCTGCCGCTAATGTGTCAGTGCTCAGACACGGTGCTAGTAATTCTAATATACCTACTTTTAGACCCAGGGCTTTCGGGGGCCTACTTGGGTCTCAAGTCCTTTCAGCTCCCCTCTCCCACTGTCCCTGGACAGGATGTGTCAGTAGAAGCTCTGGCCATAGCCACATCTTACCAAATATCTGGTTTTACAAGAGACTAAATAGTCCCTACTTTGTTTCATGTATATGTTTTAAGTTGAATCTGTCTTAATGAAATGCTCAAAAGTGAGAGTGCAGCTTAAACTTGGTTTCTTTTCAGCAATTCTGAGGAGAACCTCCTCTTATGTTATAGAACAATAGTCCTGCTGCATAGACCAGTTATGCTTTAGAACACTACCTAATGACTGGACATTCTTCTTCAGAATTTTCGTAAAAAGAACAGTCTTCTTGAGACTTTCATTGATAGCACATCATCCCTGGGGATTCAGACCATCCATACGCCACCGTACTGACTTTTGATGATGGTTTTATTGGTAAATGCTGTGTTTGGGATTTTTTTGCCAGACATAATGGGACATATCCTATGTCTTCCAAAATTTCGGACTTGTCTGCCCACAGAACATCTCACCTCGTCTGTCTACAGAACATTATCCCTGAAGGCTTGGGTTTCTTAAATTGCTTTTATGCAAATGTGAGATGAGTACTAATGTACTAATTTAGTAGTGGTTTGTGCCTGGCAAGTATTTTAATTGTTGAATTATAAAAACGGTCAGGGTTTGTTTTTGAGTCTTCTTGGATAAATGGTAACTGTGCCCTTGGAGGAATTTTGTTAGGTCAGCCACTCCTGGGAAAATTGGCTATTGCTCCAGATTCACAGGGGTTTGATTGTAGTCCACAGAGCCTTAGTAATGGATTTGTAACCTGTACCAGGCTGATATCTCAGTATCTCTTCTGTAATTTCATTTGATCACTTTATAGTGTGATGGTAAGACTCTATAAGTCATGTTTAGATTCAACAGGGCTGACAGTAGCCAGTCTTAAATGTGTCTGCTCAATCTGATTTCAGTGATCAAATAAATTTGGTTAATGGGCGACTGAGCAATTAGATTTTCACACAGGGTCAATTGGTGCTGGGTACCTTTTTTTTCCCTGCATAAATAAAATTATAATTTTAAAAACTAAACTTTGTGTTTACTTGGGTTATTTTTGTCCTATTCTACATTTTATATGAAAATCTGGCACATTTATTGTGGCAGACATAAAAAAAACCTTTTGTCCCTCTCTTTATTTTCTCCAGATGTTTTCACAACATTGTACAAAATGCTGCGTTTGAGTGCTTACATTTTCCATAGCATGACTAAACCTTTCCAATTCTCTGATCTCAAATAGGTCCTAAATTCACTATTTTAATATGACTTTCTGTGGCGTATATAATAAGTCAATAAACAAAATGCACATTTTACTAAGCCCATAGGTATAACTCCCCCACCCCCTATGTATGGAAACAAAAAGAGAGACAGGTGATATATCAGTGCACAGAAAAATGTTTTACAACATGGAAATGATAGTACATGTTTTGATATAGCTCCCTCAGTGCCAAATAGTTATGGTGGAAATGATTGTAAATATATTTGTTTCAAGCTCTTCCCGTCATCCCTCATAGAAA